TAAATATTGAGTAGAGCAGAGTTTTACTTGACTTGCACACATGATGAACAGCTGTCTGTAGAGAGTTTGATCATGCAGAGCTAGTTTGTTTTTATTTTGGCCTTAAGGCTTCTCACACACAGCCTAATTCAATAAAGACTGCTGACATCCAAGGCAAATGCCCCCACCTCTTCTCTAACCTATTGCAGAAAAGTGCTAGCTAGCAAACACCTACAAGAACTGAAGTCAAGCAGGAAACAGAAAATAGCAGCGTTTTGCTAAGAGAATTAACCCTTTGATGAAAAGTGTTGACAAATTCCCGATTGTGACAATCTTGTCGCTTGGTTCTGACAGGGTTAATGCCACTGAGAAAGAGAGAGAGACAAAGGAAATGAAAACCTGACTCTGATTAACCCTTTGAGATAACCAGTGTGCCTCATTCATTACAAAGCATTATGTTGGGCACAAATGCTTTACACCACAGGTTATAATTATTACAGATTTTCTGACTAGCCTATATCTTTGCTAAGTTGCGAAAACACACTTCCCACTTGTGGAACACTGACTAAACCCTCAGTGAAGGTTTCCGCCACTAAAGTAACAGTAACCCTTTCAGCGCTGTGGCAGAGAATGAAAAACTACCGCTCTCTAATGCAACCCTTAAACAAACCCAAATGTTGGGGACTACAAGAAACCTCCTGTATTACAAGAGGGGAAAAGACTCTGGACCTTGCTTTGATTTGGGGCTGTGTTTATCCAGTAAATCATGAACAGTAACAAGGAAATTATTATTGGGCTGTTATCCTGTACTGATAAGGCTGCATTAAACAGATCCTTATCTTACTGATATGTCTTGGCTACAGACTGCGGTTTATGTGGTCAGCCTCCCACATTTTTTCAAAGTGCAAGATATCAAGTGTTAAGTGTCTCTGCTGTATTGTGAAAATCTGATAGTTAGTTGTGCATTATTATACAGAAATAGAATGTGATATGTGTACTAGCATGTGTTTACCCAGCAGTGTATGGATGTATATATATTTATCAGTTATACATTCATGGGTGTTGAAAGCGGAGGGGAGTTGGGTGACAAAATCCCCCAGAAAATCTAGAGGAGGGATAAGTGGGGTAAGATCCTCCAATCATGATACTGTAGCTCTAAAATCATACGTTGATGTGCCTCAATGCTTGGTCAGGCTCCGCCTACTCTCCTCCCCTGCCAACGTGCTTTCCTATGGGGATTTCGGTGACGCTGAAGGTCCTCACAGAGCGTGAGGACGTCCAGTGTCATATAACACACTTTTAGTGTTCCGAGAACACGGAAGTCCCTCTAGGGGCTGTCTGATAGACAGCCACTAGAGGAGGACTTAACCCTGCAAGGTAATTATTGCAGAACTACACTTGCAGGGTTAAGGGTAGTGGGAGTTGGCACCCAGACCACTCCAATGGGCAGAAGTGGTCTGGGAGTATCCCTTTAATAACCCTCCTAGTGATGATATGTTGTTTTACCTATAGAAACGGCATGGTTATGCATATACCCCCCAAGGGAAACACATTTGCTATGAAAGAGAATCTGCGCGCAGATGTAAAAAATTTACATTTTTACATTTTTTGTAATATATTTTAAAAATAATGAATAGGGCTCTATTTGCAAATATATATATCTAGTGTAAACCAATATTAGTAAACACTAATAGAAAAATCAGGTCCAGGTTATATTGGAGTAACAAAAATAAAAGGCACAGAATACAGATCAAAATATTAAAAGCACAAAAAATGGATATACAAGTAATATTTAAAAAAAAAAAAGATAAATAAAAGCAGTGCCTAAAATATGGAGATTAGCAATCTGGCTCTTAAAAATAGAGGGAGTCAAAGAATATACAAATAGCCAATGGATAAGACCACAGTTGATCAAATAAAACTTTAGGGGAGGGGGGCTAGGGGGGTTCACCAATCCTCCCTGAAAAAACAATTAAATCAGTAACACTTATAATAAAAATAAGATGCAGGGTGTCCAGGAGCTAAATCAAATAAATTAAAATACTCTAGTAATATAGTATACCAAAACTGAAGTTCTTATATGCTTTTAAAAGAAGAAAAACTACCACAACAAGAGGACATAGTCTTAAATTAGAGGGGCAAAGGTTTAAAAATAATATCAGGAAGTATTACTTTACTGAGAGGGTAGTGGATGAATGGAATAGCCTTCCAGCTGAAGTGGTAGAGGTTAACACAGTAAAGGAGTTTAAGCATGCGTGGGATAGGCATAAGGCTAGGGACTAATGAAAGTATTTAGAAAATTGGGCAGACTAGATGGGCCGAATGGTTCTTATCTGCCGTCACATTCTATGTTTCTATGTTTCTCACAATGAGATTAAATATCAAGTCTTGAGTGAGTTCATGTGTAAAATCTCAATGAAATGAAAACAAAAAGTATGTTGTCTAATAGTCCACAGGAATGTCGTGGAGCCCTATTGCAAAAGCAATATAATTCACTGAAGGTCAGTGAATACATAAAAAACAAAAAAATGAAGAACACACTGGTAGTACAAAGCAGTACAGTATCCAGGATCACTGCTCACTACAAGGCAAAATATAAACTAAAATAAAAAGTAGAGAGAAAATGAGAAATAGAGGGAAAAATACTTCTTTAAAAATCAATTAGTCTTTAATAAAGAAGGGCAAATTCAAACACGTTGAATGGTAAAATCAAATAGAATAAAATTGATAGAATAATAGCAACAGTGGTTCAATGTGGTATGTACAGATGCCGCATCAATAATTCTCCTGGTGGATGTAGTCTCCTGGGAGCTGCAGTCCTCACTGTGTGGTATCAGCCGATCAGGTCGGCATGCGTTTCAACCAGCGTTCCACCCGAAGCCCCACTCCCAATTGTGATTCCACCGATCTCGGAGAGAGCTGATCCTCAGTAGCTGTTAGTGCGAGGACCTCGATCGACTCGCATGCGTAGAGTGCTGCTGTGGTAACTTCCAACAACAAAAGTGGTGAATGCAAGTTCTCAATAGAGTTTTGTTTGTGTCCATAGCCTTACGCGTTTCGTGAGGGAAAGCCTCACTTCATCAGAGAATTCAATAATAGGTTATATGGGACCCAGTGATAATAGTTAAAGTGAAGCATTAATAAATGTGGTGATACAATAGATACAATAATGTCCAGTGATACATGAAAGTGTAAATTAGCTAAATAATAAGATAAGCAATCTTGTAGATTGCAAGGAAGTCATGTACATAGTCTCTTCTTGTCATGACCATCTTTTTTTCCCCTCCCCCCCATTCTAAGAAGACCCCACCAAGTAATGCAATCTAGATTAATGTAAGAGCTATAGTTTGTTACCTGCTTTCACCATGCTGTTTGCATGAGCTTGGCCATGGTATTAGTTAATAGTTGTCAATATTTGATTGGTTATTAATGGTACTGCCCCCAGACTCCCCTTTATTGTGTGCAATTACAAAACCTTTGTAAAAATGACACCCTTGGATGTCTCTCAAGAGTGTCCCCAAGCACTTGAAGGGCATGGCACGGTCTGGATAGAACTGTAAGACCAAGGCAGGTAATTCTTGTGATTACCAAGGACAGGACAGATGTTCCAACAATACATGTGTAATATACACTGTTAAAGTTAAGCAGACCAACAAGAAGGCCTGTAGCAGCCAAAGTAATCCAATGTTTTCCTTTAAGAGCAGGGATGTACTGTCGCTTTAATTGCAGTGAGCTTTAAAGTGGTTCAGCGGTCAAAAATATTTATGTCTTAGTTGTCTAAATAATTTATAGCATGCAACATCATCCACTCTGGGTGGGGACAAAACTTATTGAGAACTTGTAGTTTATATGCTGAAGGGTTATATTCAGCCTATAAATAAATGTGGATAAACACCTGGAGGGGTTAAAAGGTTGATTTCGAACCCTTGTCATATCTCATTCTTTTTGTTTCTTGATTTCTTTCCCCTTTGGCATGGCTTGTGCTTGGAGGAGACCTCTCTAAGAAAGAGGATGCCGATGAAGTGGATAAGTGCTCTCTATAATTGTAGTATTAGCAGAAAGCAGTAAAGTAGCTTTATGTATATCTCTCTCCAAAGTGATTTTTGCCTATCAGCCATCTTTTCATTGACTGCGAGCTGCAATTATTGTTCTTTTTTTTTTTATAGAATTCTTGTAGCCATTTGACTAGGTTACTATATTTAATAGGGTAAGAGGGTGAATTGTAATTTCTTGTGTAGGTAGCTCATTAATTCTAGCCATGCTCCGAACTCGTGATATGTCTCTACCTGTGACTCTCTGTCCTATCCAGACTGAATTTTCCCTCCGAGGTTCCACCAATCGTCCAGATGCTTGTCCAAGCTTAGTGTCATGCCTGCAGATCCCGTTTTACAGCAGCAGATTTCAATAAGAATAATTAATTGATCCTGAAGCCACAATAAAGACAGTGGAGACTTTCTACACTGATACATTTTTTTATTCAGCCTGCTACATTTTTGGGGTTTTACTTTTTTTAATGTGGTTACTTTTCATGCCTTTGTATAGCGCCGTGTTCTCTCTTTGTGTTTTTTTTTTCTCTGTATCTCTGTTTTCCCTTCTGGTTTCTGTCTTTATCCGCTGTATCTCTTTCATCTTATTTCTCTGTCTTTCTCTCTCTTTCAGATTCTCAAACATGTTTCTTCCTCACTCTCTCTCTCTCTTCCTTTCTATCTGCCTCTCTCTCTCTCTCTGTTTCTTCCGTTGGGTTCTACATATGTGGTTTCCCAGATCTTTTTATCTGCTTTTCTCCCTCTATCTAATTGTCTCTTTTCTTTCTGGGTTTTTATAGCATGTACAGAGATCAAGCCCCACTTCTCTCTATCGTTCTAGTTCTCCGTCTGTCCATCTATCTCTCTCTTCCTCATTCTTCTTTATGTCCATCTCCTTCGCTTCCTCAGACTGTCCCATCTTTCTGATTCTTTCAATATTACCCCTTTCTATCTTCTCTCTGACCCGACTCTGTTTTATCGCCCCCTTTTCCATTTCTGCTATTTACATCTGGTTCTCTCCCTGTCTCTTTCCGCCTGTATCGTTCTCTCTTTCCGCCATCTTCATTTTTTCACTCGTTTAATGACTCCCCGTATTTTTCACTTGTTCTCAGGGTTACTCGAAGTGAGAACCAGTCAATACATTTAAGGCCTGAGTAGCTGAACTTGGAACAGAGCTGACTTGTACATATTTTCCAGTCTAGATATTTTAGCCTCGAATTTTAAATGCACTTTGTATTTCAGACAGATCTCACGTTAGTAAATAACCCTGTATGTGTCTCATCTATTTTTATCTCCATTGCTCTCTGCTGATACAAGGAAACAGCAACTAGTTACAGTTACAGAGTGACACTGTGTTTAGGTGCTCTCGGTATCTGCTTGAATGATTCCAGGTATGGCCCTCCCTCTCCCTTCCCGGATCACACCCTGAGAGAGGCTCCACACGTCACTTCCTTAATCTTACACTTTACAGAGTAACTCTCAACAGAGACAGGCAGACAGACAGACAGACAGGGATTGATGAGAACACAGAGAGAGAGAGAGATGGAGAGAGTGACATTGACATAGAGCGCAAGAGAGAGACAGAAAAGAGTGATAGATATATAGGAAGAGAAGACTAAAGGGTAGATATAAAAAGAAAGATTGAGACAGAAAGAGACATAGAGAGGGAGAGGACAGAATTAAAAAACAGAAATACAGAGACAGTGAGAGGTGTAAACAGTAAAAAGTTCACACAGTGACAGTGGGAGGAGGAGAGTGATTGAAAGAGAGGGGGAGAGAGATTGAGAGGGAGAGAGGAGGAGAGAGGGGAAGATACATTAACATAGATGACATAGGAAGAGGAACTGAAGAGGGAAAACGAAAGACCCAGGACTGAAAGAGTGCAGCGCTGGAAGACAGTTTGAGACACACACTGTGAGGCTGTAGGACGAGATCATGTCTTTAAGGTAGAGCGGAGATGCCTTATCCAGTCAATGAGACTGTGAAATACTGGGAAACGACATCATGAGGGCTTTACAGATAATGGTAAGTGAGGGGTTCAACTGACTGAACCCACAAACCCTATCTACCTGTATAATAAATAATAAGAGCTACGCATTGAATATATATTGCAGGTGGTTTTATCCTTGTAACTGCTGTTCTTTGATATGCGGGAATCTAACATATTCAGTAGTGTTGTATAAAAAGAGAAAGCGGGATTAATTCCAACTAGCTGACAGACCAATACGTCAAGGCTTTCCACGCTACGGAGCTGTAGGTGTCGCTAAATTACTTTATTCACCAAACACCGAATTGTAGTAAATTGAAATTTAAATGGTAAAATAGAAGCTAAAATGGCTGCTTTGAAAACATTTCCCATCTCAGTTATGGTGACAGCTAGGCTAGTGAAGACTCAGCTTTGACATTTGGATTTTAATTTGTTACAATTCTGAGTTTATTAATATCCCTGTGGTAACATGTTAAAGCGATTCCCTGGAATGTCCAGCTTCATTTTCAAACTTCAGGCTGCCACAGAGTATCAGAGCTAATACTAGTGAATTGTTCTGTCGCTTTATTCCGCTGGCAGACTTCAGCTATGTTGCAATATGAATTTGGAAAGTTCCTGTAACAGGAAATTGCTGGTTGTGTGAGGAATAGTCAGCTTACATTGAAGGCTGGTACGGCTGATCTCGGCAGGCAGGGAATTCAGCAGACTCTCTGCATTTAGTTCAAAGAAAATACATTCAATGTACATGTGGTGTGCAAAAAAATAGATAAATAAAAGGGATCATATTGCATAACTTCTTTCGAGGTTTTTTTTTTTAAAATAAAAAAAGGGTTCTGATCCATAATAATGTTTCAAATGATATAGTATATCAGTAGAAAACAGCTTCCAAATGTCTGGGTGTGATGAAATTAAATCCCCTTTTTCAGGTTGTATAATGGGTCATAAATAGTCAGGGAGGTGGATAAGTTTGTTTAATGTGTTTATTATGCATTGTTTAATAGCTGTTAGGAATGCATACTTGCAAAGTATAGCCCCTAGACCCTAACAAGGAAAATAATACAGCAATGGAAACTAAATGACTGATTATTGCGGCTGCCCGACTTAACAAAATCCCCACAAAGAGGAAAAAATAACCTGTGAACTGGTAAAAGTGTTTTTTAAAATGAGCAAGTAAAAATATATTATACGTTCTGCTACAATGTATGGGACTGATTAATATATTCTGATATTAAATACGGCATAGGATATTGGCCTGGTGTCTGTATACGCAGTAATGATATTAAATATATATATAAAAAAGCAGAAAAATAAAAGCAGAATCACCTGCTAGGGTTCTTCATGATGAATCCAGTGGCTTGCTGTGGATGGATGGGTGGATAGATGGATGGGTGGGTGGATAGATGGTTGAATGGTAGGATGGATGGTTGGATGTTTGAATGCATGGATGGGTGGTTGGATGGAATAATGGATGGTTGAATGATTGGATGGATGGATGGATGGATGGAATAATGGATGGTTGGTTGGTTGGTTGGTTGGTTGGATGGATGGATGGATGGATGGATGGATAGATGGATGGTTGGTTGGTTGGTTGGATGGCTGGATGGTTGGTTGGTTGGTTGGAAGGAATGTTGGAAGGGTACATGAATGGATCATTGGATGGATGGCTGGTTGGATGGATGGATGGTTGGTTGGTTGGATGGCTGGATGGTTGGTTGGTTGGAAGGAATGTTGGAAGGGTACATGAATGGATCATTGGATGGATGGATGAATGGATGGTTAAATGTTAGGATGGATGAAATAATGCATTGTTGGATCGATTTATAAATGGATGGTTGGATGGATTCATGAATGGGTGGATAGTTGGATGGATGAATGGTTAGTAGGATGGATGGACAGTTGATAATGATTAGTATATGTTATGGTTAATTTGTAGGCCAACATGTCAATATATCAATAAAGTTGTAATGGTGCTTAAAGGCCCTTAATGCTGCCTTAGCTTAAGGGTTAAACTATTTACAAACATTTTAGCCCCATAGCTGTGCAGGTATGCATATTTCCCATGCCGTTTGTTTAATGAGAAGCTAGGTATAGACTGAGGGTGCCTGCTGAAGCTCTCAGCCTATTACTGGCACCCAGTCCAATGATTCTGCATTGAACCCTAAGACTTGTGAGGATGAAGAGGGACAGTTGCTCTCTACACAGCTTTGGGGTTATTACAATAGTTAACGGTTTAACCCTTTAAGGGGACAATGTTGTTATGGTGCCTGGAGTGTTCCTTAAACAGTTTTCGTTAAAGATACAAATTATGTGCATGGAATTAGCTTAATTACATAAGACTTTGATTAGAATGTTAACAAAATTACTAACTTCAACTGCAGTATAACTGATGATAAAAAAGCTACAAAAATTAAAGCAGTGCAACATATAGCTTATCAAAAATATAAATTAAGGTCATATTAACGACTGAACATACATCCTAGGAACTACCTTTATCTAGAGATCAAGTTCTTGGGGTAATGATGGCCATTGGGACTTTGATGATGGCCTACATGCAAAGAAAAGCGATAGCTGTTCAGGAACAAGACAGTGACTAGTTTAACCAGGAAGGGAAAGGCCAGGACAGAAATAGATCAGAACAACAACTGAAACAATCATATAAAGGCACAGAGACAAGACAGCCATGAACAGGTGGAGACATTAGTTTATACATAAAAATAAAAAAATCTCGGGCACTCACTGTGATTGTATCCAGGCAGGTTTATTTGCAACATTTCGACCTGTCAAGGTCTTTATCAAGCATGCAGCTCGACATATACACAGGCCAATTCATATATGGTCAGAAGAATGCTGGATTTAAGCGGGAAGGTTCATTGTGTATGCTTCTCACGCTTTATTATCTGTATATTGTAGGTTTTATTATGCTTCACACTGGTCGTAGCCTCCCAAAGTAAGGATATCCCTCTAGAAGCTGCTTTGCTATTGCGTGGAGAACCAATGGGATTCAGGGCACATGTCCGCAGTGAGAGATACGTGGAGGATGTCTTGTGTGCTGGGGACGAGTACAAACACCCCAGATCTCAGCACTGCTGCAAAAAATGTTTAAGTGGTGAGTGACCCAGTATTCCTGAATATTGTGTGATTCTTTTTTTTTTGTTGTTGTTGTTGTTGAGATTATTTGCTTAGCAAGACAAAAGCATGACATCATAAACAAGTCTCCTAGCAGATTATAATGGTAATTCTAGAACAGGTAATTCTAGAACTGGGGGAATCTCCCCAAGTGTTGGATCCCAGAACCGTGGTACCATGTTGGTCACAAGTCAAAATAGCAGAGGAGAGCATTATGTAATTTAATATACAGGGCCAAGCAAACCATATCTCTGTATCGTATTCCAGGAGAGATGATAGAAACATAGAAATAAATGAATGAAATTCTTCGAGCTGGCCTTCGATTGTATCCCAATATCCACTGATCTCAGCCTTGAAAACACTCTAAATTTATGTTTGCTTCATACCTATTTCAAAAACACTTTATATTAATAATAGTAAACTTTTTTTAATGGGCTTAGTTTTTTATTTTGAACACATCTTATTTATGTTTTGCTTTTTCAATTTCAATAACTGTAATTTCATAACCATTTTCCACATATCTAACTATCTGTCTTGCTTCTTACCATTAATACAACCAGCAATCTATAATCTCTTCTGGATTCTGGATAGTGTCAGTATACCTTCAAATCTATTATAACCCATAGACCTGTATTAATTTAATGAGGAGCATCAGAAAACAATTTAAGAACTGTTTGTAGGTTAATTATCGATAGCCTAGCATTTATTATTCTCTCACTATTACCTGGAATACCTGATTATCAAATCTTCAGAATTGATTGACGTTTTTTTCCCCAGTTTTATTTACCCTCCAACCTCCTATTCACCACCAGCTTGTAAAATATGTATTGTAATTGCTCTGATATGCAAACCTTTGTGCTATTATTTGTTATATTTTCATATACATCTCTTCCAAATAAACGTATAGTTACTTTTGTTTCTGACGTCTTAGTAGGGAAAATTTAAGTTTGTAACCCTGCTTGTTTTACAAACTCCTACATGTCAAAAATCTAAAAGCTATTACAAATCCGATATAAAGGGTGAAGGAACTTGTACATTAAATTTATATGGAAATATTTATAGATTTGCTGTTGATTCAAAAGAAAGCAAAAACTCCAGTTTAAAGTGATTTCTGGATGTGGTTTCTCAATTGGAATAAAAATCCACTTTGACTCCAAAATGACAATCCATTTTATCCTCGGACTAACAAGCTGTTCCCACACATGTTACTGATAAATTGTTTGAATATTCTGTGATTTCAAAAAACATACAGCTCGTTGTAGGAGGCAGACAATTCTATTTTTGT